CCTCGATAACACGTAATCGCGATAACGTCGAGATTATGTAATGGAAAAAACAAACGAACGAAGAAAAATAGAGAGCAAGTGAAAGTGGTGTCGGGCGAAAAAAGTGCATCTTTTGGACGGTTCGCGCGACGCGTGCCCGATCGTGAAAATAATAATTCGACTCGGAAGAGGTTGCGCGCCATGATCGGCCGGTTGAACGCGCGCACGTTCGCCACGATCGTAGATCCCGGATCACGTAGATCTAGCCGCACGACTCGCACCGAGACATTTTCACAACCGCTTTTCCCTCGGCTAGGACTGGTTGCGAATCCAGACGTCTGGAACCCGGTTCTACGCGATACAACCTCGTAGAAATCCGGCTTAAAGGGGTCGATGGAACACCTCGCCGATACTATCGGAGAAAATCGCTTTGCTCGGCAGAAAAAAGGAAAAGAAAAAAGAAAAGAGAGAGGGAGAATCGTCGAGAACGATAGATACTCGTTCGATGATATCGAGGGATCGTTGCTAATTTTTTTTTTTTTTGTTTCTTTTTGGATAGGTTTCGCTCTCTATTTTTTTTCTTTTTTCTTTTTTTTTGTCTTCCAACTTTCCAATCGATTGAATATTCGAGGGGACGGATTTTCTCCAGATTTTCTCGCGAAAATGTTTTCCAAGTTTTTTTCGACTCGAAACGTTGAAGGAGACGAAACCTTGACGATGAAACCTCGGTCCAGCAAGGCGAACGTTGAACGTTTTGAATAATTCCGGATGCCTTATCAACCGAGGCAGTGATAAGAAGGCACGGAACGACGAGATAATGTGCGGTTCTGCGTATAGCCGGCTCCTCTCTTTATTGTGCCACTATTTCTATTCGAAGCTACTTATATATACATATACATACACTATAGCTTCTTCCCCACTTCCACGTGCTTATGCTATAAAATCCGTTTAGATCAGCCTCCTCTCGTTCCATTGTTTCGATTAATCGCTCCGATTCCCGCATATCGATCAGCCCAATTATCCGTTTGTTTTTGTTTCAATTTGCTAAACACGCGTCTTCTTAATCAATCCTCCCCCGCTCGAACATAATTTCATCGTTATTTCGCAAATCTCTTTTATCCACTCTGGAATCCAGAACGATTTCGAGAACAATCGATAAAGCTGCTCCGCAACGAAAATGTGTAAATGTCGTGACCGAGCGCAAAAGTTCGGCGCGAATCACGAAATTAGAAAGTGAATATTATTAAATCCTCTCCTCTCCTCCCGATTAATTGTGATATCGATGGAGATCTGCGAGAGGGAGAGAGAGGGAGAGAGAGAGAGAGGAAGGGGAAAAAAGGAGAGCAAGTAGTCCAGTTTTCCTCGGTCGATCGTGATTTCTCCGGAACGATCCTTCTCGATCCGCCTCGGCGGGATCGATTTGTGATCGATAGACGGATGGATGGCTACTAGTCGAGCGGCATTTCTTCGGTGAAACGAATATTTTCCTTTTCCAGCCGCTCGAGCGCGAGAAATCGCGGAAGCCGATGATTTCTTCGCTCCGGCTCGATTAATCTTTATCGAATCTTTATCTTTACCAACGATACGTCGAGAATGAGTACTCGAACTGTGTGCTCGAGATCGTAATCTCTTTCGATTATTCTCCAATTTTAATTGGATCTGGTCGTTTAATATTCGCGAAGCGACTAGAAAAAAAAAAAAAAGAAGAAAGAAAGAAGAATTTTTGGTTACACGCTCGTTTTATAATCGAACGGATTATACCTTTCATCATTCGATCGCGTTGAAGAAAATTTGAGAAAAATAATCGAGTTATTATACAGAGAAACTCGATTCTTCTCCTCTTCTCAGTCCACAGTGTTCGCATTGTAGTTGGACGGGTTTGGGAAGCGGATGAAAGTGAATTATTGAAATCGCCACCGTGGCGGCGCCCACGTTCCTCTGAAACACCTGTTTACCTACGAATAACACCGCGGTATCGTTCCACTTCCTCTGCCCCCGTTTCCCTCCACTTTGCAAACATTTTCAATCGGCGCGTTAAGCGCCGTTCACATCGACACACCATTTTCCACCGATCGGTTTCCCCTCAAATCAATTTTTTCCTCGCATCTTCCGATCGACATCGAAAAAACGATTACGCACGAATCGGTCGGAGAGGCTCGGTAAATGGCACGACCGGGTCGAGCATTTGAATCCCGAATACGTGTAAAAGAAGACGGTCGAGCAGCATTTAGTGAAAGGCAGAACGCGCGTCTTTCGTGGCCGAGATTCGATTCGATCGACGAACCTAAGTCACCGTGTCGTCCCTCTTCGAACCGCCGTTCGCCGTGTCATTTGCACCGTGAAAAAAACGCTTATACGATTAATAAAAAGAGAAAAACGCTTCGCTTCGATCGTTGGATTGAAGGGAAACAGGAAATTCGAGTCTTTTTCCTCGTTCGAGGTGACAAGGATCCTCCTTGAACGAGGGCAGTCCAAGGAATCGATTAAACTTCTCACAAAAGAAGGAGGAGGAGGAGGAGGATTTTGCTTACAGCTCCATGGAAAGATGGACGATTGAAGAATCATTCGTTTTTGATGTAGCGAGTTTTCGACAACGCCACTTGTGAACCGCGCTTAATTCCACGCTGTGACCTAAATTTCAATGGCGCGCGCAAAGCTGTCTACCTCGGGGAATCGCGATGCCGAATAATCTACTCTGCCGAAAATATCGACACCGACTTTATCGAACGAAATCGAGTCGAAGAGGCGATTAAAGGGATCGAATCGAATGAAAGATCGAAAGCGAGGCGAAAGATCTTCTTGATCGCGATTACCTCGTCGTGAAAACGAGAGGGAGGAGAGCTGTTGGAGGTGTAAATTATCGAGGAGCAAAGGAGGAGAAAAGGGAAATGGATGAATAGTTGGTGGAAAGAGAGGCAAGGGAGAATCGTCTGTCTCTAACGTTATCGGGCGGAAAGGCCGTGTCGTTGAGTTGCAAATTTATTTCACCTCGACCATTGGCCGGGATATTTCACAATTTATTTACGGCGAGGCGACACAGCCACTCTCGTTCGGCCTGAAAAAATACCGAGATCCTGTTTCGGACCTCGAATCGCGTGTGTCACCATTTGCGGACATGGCCTGTTCCAACGGTGGCCCTCTATTGCCTATTCGCGCCAACTTCCTGGACCCGCGTTTCGACTTCCCAAGCTTTAAAAAGAAGAATGCAGCCGAATAAAGAAACTTTCGTTTCGATCAATTTTTCGTCTCTCGCGCGATTAAAATAAAATTGAAATCTCTGTACATAACGTAAGAATTAATAAAGACACGGTTCTTTATTAATCAAGTGCGTGGGTAAAAATGGGGGAAGAGGTTTCCGTTAGAAGAGAAAGAGTCTATGATAATGGAGGAGAGGCTGAAAGAGGGAGGAAAAGCTTGTAGAAATTCAATTGGTGGCAGCGTCAAAAAGCGGTACGAACGCGTTGATAGGTTCACCTGCTTTCCATTTACTGTTTCTTGACCTGCCGTAAACCGTGGAATTTAGGTACTCCACTTGCCGCCACCAATTAATCAACACTTTCGCGCGATTTTTATCTAACTTAAATTTATCTCGACACCCCTTATTTCCCTCCCGATCGACTTGTCGCGTGGTTCCTTCAGCGATGATCGATCATCTTCCTCAATTCTGACCGTTACGTGATACGCCGCCACGGATCGGGTTAACGAGATTAGATAAAACGCCGCAAATATCGTTGTTTATCTCGAACGAGACTAATAACGTTTATTGTGTCCGTTTGGAGAGAGGAAAAAATTCGATTAATTCCAACGAATGCGAACGTAACGAACTACTTTCCTTTTCGTTACGAATTACGGAGGAAAAATTTGCGAAGAAGAGAAATTTTTTTTTAGGAAAAAATTCTTCGCGTTCCACGTCGTTCGAAGATCGACGTGAATTCCGTCGTCTTCCAACCAATTCTGTCGTCGACACTTTCGCGGTGAAATTTGCACGGGTGTCGTCAACCCTGACATTAAATCGTGGACGGTGTCAGGGCTACTACACCTATCCCTGGGAGTAGCGTGTGTGGGGACGAAGGAAAGAAAAAAAAAGGAAGGAGAAGTTGTGCGCTCTGGCACCGGTGGAAGGCTGGCTAGACCGACAGTCAGTTTTCATGTTCCCCAGAGTGGATAACCGCGTAAAAGTATCCCGTTACGGTAGCCCAGATACCGGATTACGGAGCACGAATTGTCAATCGAATCGTGAGAGACTGCGAGTTTCCGTTGCGGAAAAAGCCGACCGCACTGGCCGCCCTCGAGGACCGCAAGAATTTCGCGATACGATTTTTCTATTCGGATGCTATTTCTCGGCTAGAACGATTTATTATTTCTTTCGTGGATTAGGATCAAAATTTCGATTATTGATAACGAACGTGTTACGAGGAAAAAGAAAAAAGAAAAAAAGATATATAATAGCGATACGATAGATCGTACGAATCAATCAAGAGAGTCATGGAACGCGATATTATTCCGAAAAATCGATAGATTCGACGAGGGGAAAAAGGCGCGTGTTCCGGGGAAACGATCGCTAATAACGTTCACTTTCGTTCGAAACAACGCCTCGAGGTTACGGATGCCTGATAAGATGTGTATGTTGTAACAACACGGACCAATGAATCATAACATCGATAACGTAACGAGGGAAGGCCGGTGAATGGTGAATTTACGTTTCCGCGGGATACCTTACCTACCTTCCAGCCGCTTGGTAAACAATCGTATCCCGATACGCTATTAAGGTCACATCGAAACGAATTTGAACGAAGCGAAACGAACTCGCTACGATTAATTTCGCTCGGTCAAAATAATGGTCGAAAATTCTGACGATTCGATCGTAAAAAAAAAAGAAAAAGAAGGAACAATTATTCACGGGGAGAAAAGTTATCCGTCAGGATAATAACTTATACTCGGTCGAAATTATTAATTAAACACTGGCGGGGCTAGATAAGATAGAGTTAGAGACGCGAGTCGTTCGTTTCGAGAAAACTAACCTCTTATTTTCGTCTCTTGTGGGTCCAACGGTGGAAAGCGTGGGTGGCTCTGCTGTCCCGGTTTCTTCAACAGGACACCCACGATCTGCGGTGCCATCATCATCTTGACCAATCCTCTGTTTCTTCTTCTCCTCGCGTCGATCAGTTCCTACGAGTCAACATCGTCCAAGGATCGATCCTCGCGTTTCGACCGGTAACGATACGTATCCGAAGAGAGGAAAAGAAATAGAACGAGCATCTCCCTCCCCCCTCCCCTCCTTCCCCCCTCCTCTCTCTCTTTCTCTCCGTGAAAGAAACACTTTTTCAACTCGATAAGTTGACCACTAGTTAGAGGGTCTTAGAGGCTGACTCCGGCTGAAATTAAAACGACGGGGCCAACGAACGAGAGAGGCGCACACCGGGGAGAGCAGCTGCCGATTCCGTTCAGTTTAGACCGTCTGTCTGTTTTATTGGCCAAGGCGACGCGTCACTTTAGCGAGGAACAAGGCGCCAGACGGGGCTCCTTTCCACTCTCTTTACGTTTAAATTTTATCGCTCTATCTTGTCTCGTGGTACACGCGAGGCCTGACCTTATCGCATGACCAAACGTTTCCAATGGCCAGAACACGCTGTCTCGTTTCGATTGATCCCTTTGATCTCGAACTTCTATACACCGAACCGTGTGTATACAACTCTTTCTATCTTCCTTTCGTTCAGACGTCAGATTCCGATCGATAAGTCGGCTTCTCCGTTCCTCCTTTTGTCTTCTTCTCTTTGCGATCGTGATCACGTATCACCTGTTGACACTAGCGGTCACTAGCTTTCTTTGACGGCAGGCCTCCGTCACTCGTTCGACGACAATGGCCGGCCGTGATACAGACTGCAATTATTGCAAACAGATAACGTTATCAACCGGCTTTTGCCTTCGACGAGCGGTTAACGAGCGGACCGACGAATATCGTCGGCCAACTCTCTCTCGTCCACGCTTCTTGCCACGGATCTCTTCCCGTTTAACCCGTTCTGGAAAGCCTCGATTCGAGTGGCACGACATCGAAATTAACTTTATTAACTCCCCGTTGCGTACCCCCCACCCCACTTTTCCCTACAACTGTTTTCGAGAATTCGTTCGTTCGTTTCACAACACGAGGGCCTCTCTTTCTCTCTTCCTTCCTTTCCCTCTTTCTTTCTCCTCCTCGACAACTTCATGCACCACTCGGCTCACTCGTTCCAACAACGAATCGAGAGAGAAAGATGATTATTCCATATAACGAACAACAACACCGAAGATCCTCACTCGTCGTCGTTCGACTATATATACGTATGTATATGTATATATATATATATATATACTACACGCACACTTATACACGCAAGTAGTAGTTTCTCGTGCGCTCGATAGAAATGGACACGAATGTTTTTCGCCCGATTTTCTTCACCCGAGTTTTAACCGAGGAACCCCCCCAAACCCCCCCTCGCCGCGTTGTCAACGATCGCGGCGAGCGCACAAGAGTGTTTAATTAACGCCGAGGAGACGAGGAACACGTTTGGCCGCAATAACAACGTACGTGAAAACGATCGCTGCCTACTATCCAGCATGGCGCGCGCACGACCAACGACTAAATAGACGGACGAGTGCATCGAGCCCGACCGCCTCGTGTTCCCCTTCCACGCCGACCGTCGTTTCTCTTTTTCTCTCCCCCTTCGACCAACCCTCGGACCTTCCTTCTTTAATTTAACACACGCATATCCCTTGCATTCGACGCTGTAAACACGCTAATTTTCAACTTTGCTCTTTCTTCCGACATCACCGGAAAACACGTACGACGATTATCCACACATTATCGCAATCGCGGTGGAACGTAAACGTGATATTTTATTGATAATCCAGGATTGAAGAGTGCGAAAAATCCGAGATCACACCGTATCTCTTATCGAAGATATCTCGACAATGACTCGCGATAATAAATCTATTAACGCGTTTTTTGTCGAAACGGCGTTGATAAAACTTCCATCGAACGTTTCTTTCGAAACGATGGAAGTCTGCTTTCTGCGAACCAATCATTCGGATCGTAATTCATCCATTGCCCGCCAACTCACCCCGCGTTTAATCTCTCCTGTTTCCCAACCGATCGATCGTTCGATCGAACTTCGACTTCGGCCGGTTTCTCGGATCGGGGTAATTGGATGTTCGCTCCATCTGGATCTCGATTGGAACGAAATCGTGAAGTGAATGGGCCGCGGAAATGGGTATCGGCGTGACGTCAAAACGTCTCAAGACCAGCGTCTGCGGGAAAAACGAAAAATACGAGTGACACACTTTCACTCTTCGACTCCGCGGGCAACCTGCAGCGGAACCATTGAAATTCCCTCTAATTGCGTGCAAAACGACGCGGATATCGAATAAGG